CACTACAAGTCTCTTATCCCGAGCCACCAAAGCTCATTTTTCGGGGATACATAACTATTATACTAAAATATATAAAATTTTGAATCGAACGTTATATGATATATTCTGAAAGACGGCATCGTCACGAGTAATTTGAGCCAAAAAAATTTTAAATCGGTCAAGCCGTTCTGGAGATATAAGCGGTCGAAAAGTGATGATTTTAATGAAAAATTAAGAAAGGTCTCCTTCTTCTTCTCTGTCCGCACGCGAGCGACATATGATCTGTGCGCGGGGCGGTGAGGGGGACAGCGGAAAGCGGAGGCGATTCGAAAATCGGCCGAAAGTTGCATACATACACTTTATGATCGAATGTTCACTTTGTACTGGCACCTTTATTAATAATGTATCAGTTATTTTTCATGGTAATATATTATTATTAGATAAAAAGATTTAAATTTTTGAGTATCTCCTTTTTTGAACATGGCTGGAACTTTTCATTTTTATGATATGATTCTTTTCGGATATCATTTACTTTTTGAGTACAAATATATAACATATATATAAAAAATATGATTTAAAAATATTATAACAAAAAAGAGTGAAATACAGCGAAAGAGAGGGGTGGTGGGGGAGAGAGAGGGGTTGCGGTCGGTCGAAGATGGTGAAGGTGTAAGTGAAAGGTGAGAGGGGATATTAGAAAGTTTTAATACGACTTGAATGCGGACAGAGAAGAAGAAGGAGACGTTTCTTAATTTTTCATTAAAATCATCACTTTTCGACCGCTTGTATCTCCAAAATGGCTTGACCCTTATATATATTTTTAAATTTTTTTGACTTAAATTACTCGTGGCGATGCTCATAGTTGCATATTTAAACAATTATTCATTTTGCATACATTTTTTTTTAAAGCAACTATGTGTTTTCTTTACACCATTTGAATATTTGTTAAATTAATTATATTATTATGCAGCAATATTTAAATTTGCGTTTTATTTTATAAACCTTAAAATTAATATTTATTAAGATGTTACAACTTACAACTTTCCTGTACAAGTTACAACTTTTCCTAGCCCTGTTTCATTTTACCCCAAATCGGGGCAAGATGTTCCAGTTTGGACTTTTTTATTTTTTTACATTTATTTACATGAACATCTTAAAATTACACCTTTTTGTCAATAGTAGTATAAAGCTAAAGAGTTGTTGCATCATGTGCATTAAAAGAAATAAACGTATACATGATAAATAAAGAAATATATGTATTTTTCTAAAAATTGGTACAACTGGCCCCAGTCTCCCCTAGTTATGCACCCCCGAAAAATGGACTTTGGTGGCTCAGGATAAGAGACTTGTAGTGTTTTTCAGTTTTTGAACATAGCCGGAGATACTATACCGCGTCTCTTGATTCCACCTGATCAGTAATTTAATAAATTCTAAATTAAGTCTCTATGATATTTAAACCGAGAAATCCTTGTAAATACTTTCTATTCTATAGCCTTTGGCTGCGTAAATTAATATTAATATATGAAGGTCAAAAAAGTGTACAAGCCAAAATAATTCATAGTAGAATAGAAAATACAAGGATTTCGATTTAAATATCATAGATTTAATTTAGAATTTATAAAATTATCTTTTGTATCGAATATAGCGTATTTACTTAAACAATGGATAAATTGTAGCATGTATACATAGAAATAAAGTAATTGTTATTTTTAAGTCAACCATTAATGCTTGGTGAGTACGCAACAAAATGGTCACAAGACCATTTTGTTGCGTACTAACTTTACGAACGAATTTGTATTAACATAACTAATACGAATACGAAGCCTATAACAGTCTAGCTTGGATCTTCAATTGCTTATATATATAATTTCGCGTGAATTTATATACTAATATATGTAGTCCCTCCAAATTACGCGAACAATCGTCGGTCTTGAAACGCAACTCTAATAAACTACCGCGGTACTATCACGAATTAAAACAAATTAATAATTAATTGATGCTCTTTTGGCATCTTATATCGATATTAAACTATATTAAAATCTGAATACTAAATCTGGAAAATTCTTATTGCGAAAAATATTTTTGTATTAGTTCCTAACATCTTATAATCTTAAAAAAAAAAGAAAACTATATAGATCATAACCTATGTAGTTTTTTGTACTTTTTCGTAAAAATTGTTTTGAAGATTCTTTTAGAAATCAAATTTCTACCAAGGATGTATCGGTATTTGTTATAGATCGACATAATTTAGAAACACCTTTGTTAAATTCACCCCCATATTTGTTTAGAGTAAAAATATAAATCTTATGCCAAATAAATCTTGTTTCTTTATCGTTACGAATAAAGATCACTTTCGCGCGTTCGCAGCATTGAATCTGGATCGCACCAATCCTCAGCACATGGTTTTACAAGTAAGCGACGAGCCTTATTTTCTTTTTCTCGTGTTCTATAATTACTATATCGCCTCGCGGAGTTTTCGTGATCAGCGTGTGACGTCGATAAACAGTGAATCGCCGTCGACGACGATAACGATAACAGTTGACCTTCGTTATTCCTGTCTTATAAAACTGACAATTAAGAGCATTCATCAGAGCATCTATTTCTTACATTTTCTTATCTTTCTTACGTTCCCGCCACCTATTTACGCGACATCGGCCCGAATTCTGGCATTTCTAGATTCCTTTTAAAGATCCACTCATTTTAATTATATTCCGTTTATTTTGTTTAATTCCTTTATCTATCTTTCGAAACATAGACATACTCGTATATCAATCTCATTTTAAATGTGAAAAGTACAAAAATGTACAGCTGATGTAAGCATTTCTTATGAAAATGGCTGTGTTCAGCAGAAAAAGCAATTTGCAACTATTATATAAATAGAGTACAGTCTTAATCTACAAACAGACACATTAGATCTACATGAAGACCTATTATAAACAAGATATGACAAGATTTGTGCATTACCAAAATCTTAAACATTATAGTTTCGTACGTCGAGTTGGTTGGACGGTTATAAAAGTTTTATATTTTGGACGACTTGCATTTGCAATGTACATTAACAAAATAATGATTTTGATCGTTACCGAATTTTAATAAATGACTCTTTTAACGACATGGATTACTCGAGGGTGAGTGTTTTGTCAGAGGGACACAATTGCTTGTCACATTATTTTATTAATATAACGTTAATTTTGTGTCCTCATTAGTACCACAGGGATACATCACAAACGATCTTCCAATCGCTTGATGAGCTAAATTGTTCTCTCTGTGGAAATACTCAACGTTTTAGAACATAACACTCCATTATAGTTTTATTCTTGTTTTTCCTGCGTTAACTAAAGATGTTTTACTGCGTTAATTAATATTTATATGTACATCTGAGGATGGCTCGAATATGCAGCCGAAACGTTATGGTTTTGACTTTTGATTGCGTGCGCATTTATAGTGTGAATTTTATAGTTTATTTTATTTTAATTTATAATATATTAAATGGTTTATTAGATCACACATATAATATTGACTCTTAATTGCCTTTTTATTTCATTGACAATTTTTTAATACTAAGAGTCCTGTATATTCGTTCTATATAAATAGAGATGTTAACAGAATAAAAATCAAAGAAGTTTTGTGTTTCATAAAACATTTTTGAAGAAAAAAACAGATAAACCTTTTTTTTAATTCTATTTTTTCAGATATATGTATATCTAAAATTAAAATTAAATTTGTAATACATGAGTATTATTTATTTTTTACTTACTTAGATAGAAGCATAATTTATAATTTAAAAAATAAATTTTAGTTATTAATTTTAATAATACTCTAATCACATAATTTTTATCTTCTAAAAAAAAATTCTTAAAAAATATACATATTATAAAAAAAAATCTGAAATTTTATCCTTGACTTATATCTTTATTTAGATTAATTTCTCCTTACTCTGAATTCTGATAATTTCAAAAATTTCAGATTCTTTATTAGATCTACTGCTACAAAAAATATTATAAATAATCACAGTTGAAGTTTTTAAAAATTTTAAATAAAAAAACATTTGTTTTAATGTTTTTTTTCTGTTAAAAATTTTAAAGATTTTTTTTAGATCTCTATTTATAAAATTCTTTAATATGATTGGTTCTTGCTCTTATTAGTTCTTCTAAGTGTTATTAATTGCATCTAATTGAATCTAAATCTATTAAATAATACTATTAAAGAATCTTACAACAGTTATACAAAGCTGTTTCTTCTGCTGAACACCGATAATATCTACTTTTTAGTGCTATATTCTTATATTTACATCTTTGTATCTATTAATTTCTACAGCACCACTGGAATTGTTTTGTAAGAAGCTATAAGGAAGTAAATCTTACTCTAAGGACAGCAAATGATAGAAAAGAGAAAGTTGAAGAAAACGAGCTGCAAGCCAGTCTTGCTATTCCCGTTCTATTCTTCGTGCATTGTAGATAATTAGATATGTAAGTTATTCGGTGAATTTGGTCCAGCTGTCGATTGAGCTTGTCTTTTATTTCTGTTTTGTTTCACACTCCAGAGGGCATGGATTGATGGATATGAATACACACATAAGAAGAACACAGTTAAGGACAAACCTGCACGTAAAAAATTCAATCAGTGTACTTGTTTTTAAATTGTAGTTTCTTGAGATTTGTTCCTTTTTTTCGAGAAGCTCTATATTCTTATTCCGTTCCGAAAAAGTGTATGATTGGCAGCTAAAAAACTTGGCAAGGAAAGTTCACTGGACGGTCAGGTAGCATCAAGAATCAGTCACTGTGTATTCGTTGCCGCCGATCACCGCCGATCAACATCTACGTACCTCAATACGACGTTACGAACCGCATTGAGCTCTTCGATCTCGTTTATTTAGGATCAGCTGTCAATCACGCACCAGGGTCACCAGGATGACAACACACACCGACTCCATCGCTGCGGCGGCTCCAGAGTGCAGCGCCGCCACGAGTCTCGCTCGAGATACTCGAGATTCGGTAGGAGGACGAGAAGGATGTCATTCACGTCGTCGTCGCGATCTGCGACGACGCGGAGTTTTATTTCTATCCAAAATGGTACAACGAATGTCACGTGCAGCTTCATACGGTCATCCTTCCAGCAGTTGTAGGTGAAGTCGAGGATACTGGCAAGAGTTTTCGTTTCGTTCGTGAATGGAATATCCTCGCACGAGGCATCATTTTCAAATCATCTGATCACCAGCGCTTCCCGCGCGACCGTATCGAAATAATAAATATCGAGAATTCGAGAGTCGCCGCGGCGGGCACCAGAGTGCGTAGCCCCGTGTTGTCACCGCCGGTGTGCGCCGGTGTCACCGTCGCCGGTCTGTAGAAACGTCAATGGCGCGATCCGCGGGAGTTAATCTAACCTCGAAAGGTTCTGCCAGGCCTACTACGCCTCTCGCGTAAATGCCATTGTAAAAGGAGATAAGCACCGCTTTCAGACTGTCGACGACGCAGCATGACCGTCTGGGAGAGGCTGCGTAATCCATGCGGCTGGCGCGCGGGCACCAAGCAGATCTCCGTGGACGCGATGCTACCGTTGCTGATGGTGCCGATCCTAGCGGTGATCGCCGCCCAGGCCTTCCTCTGCACGGTCGTCGTGTTCCTGGTTACGCCGGTCCTCGTCTACTACCTGCACCACAACTTCCTCAGATTTCTCCTGCGCACCAAGTTCTTCCTCATGTGGACCATCACCAGCGTGCTGATGATGATGCTGGTGTTCGAGATTAGCGTCGTGCCGCTGCTGGAGATCCTGCCCGAGGAGAACTTTGTATTCATGGTGTTCGTGGTCGGTGGCATGTGGTGTGGCTACAAGACCAAGCTGAACGCGGATGCCTCGATACAGGAGAACGCTGCTGGTGCCGTCGAAACGCAGAGCCTGGAACTGGGTGACGGCAGCGGCGAGCTCTGTGTCACGTGCAGGAGGAGGACACCACCCAAGGCTCATCACTGCCGTTTGTGCCAAACTTGTGTACTTAACAGGGAATATCATTGCAAATGGTATCTCCATTGAATATCTTTTCTTTTGATACAGAGTTATGTAACTTTTGGTTATGTAACGTTTTGTATTAATTACTTTGGCTTTTGTTTCTAGGCTGGATTGCTGTGTAGGTTCTAGTAATTTAAGATGGTACGTCAGTTGTTTATTCTTCTCCGCAGTTGCTTTTATATATGGTTCCAACTTGACTATGACTAGTGTCTGCCATCCATTCATACTCATCGGAACTGTACTCTTACCTGATGACTGCAGTGACGTGTATCATCAATTGGAGTATGTATTTACCATGTTTTCTAACACTTTACACTTTGATACACTGAGAATATCAAAATACGTTACATATATAATTCTTGAAATTATTCCATGACAAGATGAAAAGTATATCATGAGCACAAATGGGAAGTGTGAAGAATGCCACTGATACCAGTACTTAATGAAGTAAACTGGAAATATACAGGGAATCTATAAAGTTTAATAATCGCAAGATAATGATAATTGTCAGGCCTGCAAGATGTATTGTCATAAATAATATCTTTTATTTGTTTTCTGATATATATAAAAGTTCCGACTGATAACGTGTCGCGCAACTGTTTGTTGCGAACGTCCGAGCTTGATTGATATGTAATAATGTGTATATTGTTTCAGCATCGCACTTTGCTTCGTCTCTGCTTTGTACAGCTTCTTCGTGGGACTAGTGCTCTTTTGTTATCTTATATATCACTTACGATTGCTCTACATCGGCACGACATCAAACGAGCGACGATTGGATATGAAAAATCAGTACGATTATAGGATGTTAAATGTATCTCAGCTGTTCTGCTATAAAACTTAGGATTGTTATTTGTAAAGATGTGCGAATAATTTGAATCAAAACGAATCATAGTGGATTCTCTCTCTTGATTTGATTTGTTTTCGAATCTAAGCGATTCAAAATCGATACTTTGTACAAAAAATATAATAAAATCAAATTCGACAAACCAGAGAAATAGGTAAGACTAAAATATTTGTCATAGCGCTAAGTATAAGGGGCTACGCAGAATAAAAGGAACAGGGAATAGAGAATAAGAATTTCAATCTATCAGAAATCATATACTGTGGAATAAACAGTGTGTATTCCATAGTACATGATTTCTGATAGGTTGAAATTCTTATTCTGTTCCTTTTATTTTGCTCAGCCCCTAATAGATTTAAAATAAGTGGATCAGAATGCAAGAGTAACGTCAGCTCGAATGCACTATCTTCATCCATTTAATGTATCCTGATGTCTACGATTCATAATTCATAAAAAGTATAATAGGTATGTTTTACTTCCATAATATTATACTTATAAAATCATGTACAACATATCATGAGACATCGCGAGATTTATTACATTTGTCATCCTTAATGTATCGCAATGTGTGCATACTATTTGTATATTTATTGTAACTGTGATAAAATGGCCATTGTACGAGTAATATAGTAAATTGTATTAATCGAATACGTACACATATACACACACGCACATACACACACATAAATACATTCAAAAATAAGTTCAAAAAGATATTTAAATATGTATGTACAGTAATGATTTGCGTTTTATTTTACACAAAAGAATGTTATTTTTGCGTGTATTTAGGACTAACACTTCCTCATTCAGATTCGAGGCCAACGATTGTCATACAGTATTAAAACTAAGTTATTTCTAAATTAGTTACACTAGTCTTCTAATATTACACCTCTTTGCCTGGGGTCAAAGTCTGGGATTATTTCTTGGACTATTTCCCGCCACATGTTTCTTATCCGCTTTCTCTCCAAGATAACCGGTATCATTTCTGGATATCTTTTCCACATATTGAAATACTTAATTTTTAACTTTTCTTCGTAGTGTTGTAAGGCTAAACGTTCACGCTTCAATTCTTCTAATTTATATTCCATAGTTTTTATTTTCCACATTTTGAAGTATTTATTTTGTAATCTCATGTCGCAAAAGTCTGTCGCCACTTGGTCTTTTCTTCTCTCCTCCATCATAACTTCTTTCCACTTTTGCAATCCATACCGCAATAAATTTCTGTTATACAACGATGTAGCTAGTTCGAATTTAACTTTATTCTGACGTTCCGTTTCCATACTCCACATCATGAACACTTTTTGCAGCAAGCACCGATTGTAATAGTCATCGGCTTTCTTCATATCATTATTCTTCTTTTCGATGAGCGCGGTTATATAACGTCGCAACAAGTATTTGCGATAAAATGCTTCCGCCATGAGATTTAATTTATTATATCTTTCTACTTCGTGCGCTCGTTGTCGTTCCCGTTCCTCACGCATTCTTCTCGCTTCGCGCAATGCCTGAAGACGAAAAAATCTTAGATTAAACGCGGATATGTTTCTAAATGTAGCGAGAAACATTAGAGAACAAAGTATACTTTATTATGTTATAAAATAAAGTACAAAATAAATGAGATATTATATCATTGATGTAAACTAGAATATTACAGTGTAATATTTACTGGAAACGTCCCTCGCAAGAGATAATTTTGTTAGCAAGGTGAAAGCTATGGGAGCCAAGTGTATATACACTCAATATGATATTAATATACTTTGACCTCTCATATTATCTGACCTCTTGTTGCAATCTTTTCCTCTCTTGTTCCTCCACTCTCCTGGCAGCCTCTTCTTTCCTCTTCTCATCCTCTAGTTTCTTCCGACGTGCTTCTTCGCGCAGCTTTATTCTGTCTCTCCTCGCTTCCGCCCGAGCTTCCATCCTTGCTAAAAATTTAGGAGGACTCGGTACCCGAACTGGCGCTATCAGGGATTTGTCCCTGTTAATTAAAGAAGAGGATATAATTAAGAACTCGCCAAGCTGAATTAAGTTTGCACAAAATTCAATTTAATCTATAACACAAAGGACTAGACTCTGAATATCTCCTCTTTAAGGTACTTTCTACTTCACAAGCTGTAGAAAGAGCAGCTTGTAAAGCAAGCAATATAATCAACGGTTCACTTTAATTTGATTCACAAGATCAGCTTCCAATGCCTTTACGCTTTGTGTCATCGTCGTTTGTTATAAAAGAGCTTAGTTATTCAGAATACACTACACATCGTGCGAATAAATACACATGTCTGATACAAATGACGTCATAAAAGAGTTGATACATTTTACGTGGAATATAAAGATGATTTGAAGTGATGTGATTAATATTCTGATTGCTAGCTGAATTTTAAATTTTCTATTGATGTACTGTAATTTTATTAATGTAATGTAATTTTCTATTGATATAAAGAACGATTTGCTGAAGTATCTAAAAATTTAGTTAGAATCTTTAGAAAATAATTTTATTAGCTTCAAATAATTATGTAGAAAACTCAAGAGCATGATAAGCAATGATACATAAAAGTTATACCAGCAACCAGCTTGAAAGTCTTACATAATTACTTTGATTTTCAATAAAATTATTTTCAGATCTGTATCTAGCTAAACTTTTAAGTATTTCAGCAAAATTCTATTTTCTGTATAAATTCGACTGAAAATTGTAATCAAGAGTCAAAAATTTATTGACCTGGATTTTTTCGAGATGAAAAATTCGTAATTACATTTTGATGCAATGAAATAGGACGCTTATATAATTACAGGACTACCTATAGCCTGCTTGTCTCATCAGTTGGATCAAAGACCTTCTAGTTTGCTGACCGCAATGAGTCAGAGTCTCCCTAGCTGCGTTCACCATATCCTCGCCGGATCTCATTATTTCCTCCTGTACTTGCTTCAGCTTCAGTTCCTCGATGATCTTGCTTTGTTCTGCCAATTTCATCCTCTGCTTGCAAATGATCTCTTTCTGAGCGTTTAATCGACACTGTGCCGGCGACTCGATAATGAACGGCTTGGAAGGAGGCTTCTTCTTCTGAGATTCAGAGTCTTTAGAGTTTGAGGGAGAATCCTTTGACTTCGTTCTTTGGCTTGACTTTAACTCCTTTTGTGTCTCTTTGATAGTGTCGATGAACATCTCGATCTTCGGCACGTCAGGATTTTTCGCTGCTTGTTCTCGCTGAGTTTTCACTTTCTTCACATGCATCTTCCATAGATGAATGTACGATTTCAGTTTTCTCTGCAACAAGATATTCTGAATACGAGTCACGATTTCGCAAAGATGGCGTTTATCCCGCGCATTTTCTCGAAGTGCTTCGAAGTATGATCTTAAAATATTTAATCGTTGCTCTTCCGATTCGTATCTTGGTTTATCTTTAATGGTCACCTTAATGTTACCAAAAGACGCTATTTTGATCTCGTTTGTCGAACATCGCTTACTATCCTTCAATTCGGCAAAAGAGACTTCCGCGATTAGTTTGTTTTTCTTCTGAACGACTGTTGGCTTTTGCTCAATCGTTTTGTTCCTTCTTTTATTTTCAAGCCATGTTCAAAAAAGGATACCCAAAAATTTAAATCTTTTTATCTAATAATAATATATATGTATATTTACCATGAAAAGTAACTGATATATTATTATTAGATAAAAAGATTTAAATTTTTGAGTATCCTTTTTTGAATATAGCTTGAACTTTTCATTTTTATATGATTTTTTCGGATATGATTTACTTTTTAGAGTACAAATATATTACAAATATAAAAAAAAATGATTAAAAATGTTATATAACGAAAGAGAGTGAAATACGGCGAGAGAGAAGGGTGGAGGGGGAGGGGGAGGGGAGGGGTGAGGGGTGTTGCGGTCGGTCGAAGGTGTGAGTGAAAGGGGAGAGGGGATATTAGAAAGTTTTAATACGGCCTTGAATAAGAAGAAGAAGGAGAAGAAGGAGACGTTTCTTAATTTTTCATTAAAATCACCACTTTTCGACAGCTTATATCTCTAGAACGGCTTGACCGATTTTAAATTTTTATATTTTATAGTAGTTATACACCTCCCAAAAATGGACTTTGGTGGCTCGGGATAAGAGGCTTGTAGTGTCTTATTTCAGTTTTTGAATATGACCGGAGACACTACCGCGTCTCCTGCAGATTTTTATGTATTTGCAGGTACGTTGAAAATGGTGATTCAGCCTTATTGTTACCGAGTATCCGAGAATGGATTAAATTTTGTCTATTCAAATTCGTATTTTAAATAGCGAATACTTTTTTGTGGATTCAATTGAATTCAATTGGATTCAGTTAGATTCAATTGGATACAATTGGATTGAAAAACTGCGTTTCCTATTCAAAACTATGAATTTAACAGTATTCACTATGGTCACAAACGCACTGAAAAAGCTAATATTATTTTATGATTGAAAAGTATACAGATATGCTCCATGCAATTCCTATAAATGAATAAAAACGTATTCGGATTGAAAAGGATTTATTTTAACATTCATGAATCCGTATTTCTGAAAATTTGAATCCATTTGAATCCATTTCAATCCATTCTCGGATACTAGTTTTATCGCTAAGCTCTTCACCTTGACTCTGCTGGATGTCCTCCAAAAGTTTTCATCATCCGAACTAGCTATATTCTTTCTACTGCACAATCCACAAAATTTAGGACGGGACTTTTGCAAATCTTGCTCAAATTTGCGTAATTCTCTCTGTATGAAAGCTTGTTCTCTTTTCACCTGCAGTTCCTTCATTTTTTCCTGCGTTAATAATCTGTAAATGCAATAATAAAATCTATTTTTGTATCACTTTCTTTTTGATCTTTTTGTCATTTTTGCCAAAGTGTGTGTTACCAAGATATGATTCATAATTATATTAATTATACAATAATAACAAAAGTGTTAGTAATTATAAAGTAAGCACTATAAAATCTCAAATTTTATGAACGATATAATTTATCGATTTTATTCGTATAGGATTATATAAGTAGACATATTATAAAAATAAAATATAAATAGACATATTATAAATAAAATCTATATTTTTATAAGTATATATAAAGTTCGAAGGTATATACCTTTTAGCCTGCGTTAATACAGAAGACTTTGCTGAAGAACTTGCCAAATCTTCGCGAAATATTTTATGTCTCGCATCCATTACTATATTTGGATCCAGGAAAGTTTTTTTTTCATCTTTCAGCATTCGTCGTTTCTCAGACGGCTGGAAAATCGTCACCTTCATCATCTCGTCCATCAGCTTCCTCACTTCGTCAAACAGCACCATACTGATCATCAATCAGAAACTTGAAATAATGATAAATTTAATTGTTTAGTTCGTATATCGTGAACTGTGCCAACCCTTTGTTTGTCCGTGTTTGTTTCTCTGTTGTTAGGGAAAACTTCAATCCCCTGGTGTCAGGTGAATAGGGTTTCCAACAACTTCCATTCATGAGTTGGACGGTAGAAGAGAGTGGGAGCGACAATCGCTGGAGAAATATAAATATTAAACGATGTATATACGCTCTGATTAATTCTCGCATGATAAATAAATACCTTAAATTTTTTAAATTAATAATATACAGTGTCAAGAAAAAATAATAATATAACGTTTTTGATTTTTTGTATTATATATAGATAATAATATACATAATTCAATTTGGAAATTTTAAATACGAAAATGTTATATCTTTAAATATTCTATCATTAAGAGAGATAATAGAAGATGATAGATTCGTTGTACGAATGAAATTCTATAATGTATATTTTAATTAAAATACGTTATATTCAGATAGAACATAAAATCATATAAATGACATATATAAAGTAGAAGTTATGTAATTTACATTTTTGACACATGATTTTAAGTATTTATAACTTTTTAATTAATAATAATATCATATAATGTGTCATATGTGATTTTTAATTAAAAAGTCACCTAGTAACATATAATACATATATGGCATCATTATTTTTTTTTAAATGATTGCTTTTAATGTTATTTTGATTTTTATTATAATTATTATGATTTTATATTCTATTGCCTTCTTTTTATATACTTCTTATTAATTTTATATCAACAAAAGAAAACATTTTTTTCTTCTTTTACTTCGCACTCATCCGCGAAGTAAAAGAATTTATTTAGATGTGATAGTAATATAATTCCAGATTTTACGAATAGACTTACGGTTTTATAAATAAATCTACCTATATAATTGTAAAATAATAGCGCGCAATCTGAAAGACTGCTCGTGGGACGAGGTTTAAAATTTCCCGCCGACTCGACGTTAATCAATCGCGATGCGAGATCGTCATCGTCGACTGTCAGGGGGCTAGGCTGCAGCTGGCAGCAGTATGTGCATCACTGACTGCGAGAGGTACATCGACTTCGAAGCCTATATGTTGAGGCTGGCGAGTCTTCTCGTATGAGTTCAAAATAACGGAGGTCCGTATAACGAACACCTGTTTCCTGCCTTGCGCGCGATGTCGTTTACCGTTTGCGTCGTTCCTGGGACCCTGAAGGTCGCGCATCGCGGTTAGAGCGACCTGGTGTCATCCTCACGGTCCACCAATCTTGGTCATTTTCTCCCGTGTATTCTCGTGTGTAGATCCCTACGATTGAATGTGACTGTAATAGACACAGACGACCAAACCACGAATTCCGCTGGTACGATACGTCAACGTAAGATGGATCCAAGGGGCCCTCCTGAGGGGGCCCCTGCCGAGTCCTTCGAGATATCCAGTATCGACAGAGGAGCTGACATCTCGGTGAATTGGCCTACGGATCATCCTTTTGCCTCGTCGCTATGCGAACAGCCGAAAAAGTTGAACAACAGGCTCCTATTCTTGACTGTGAGTAACTCTTCTATAATACACAGTACATTTTATCAGAGGGTCATTATCTAGGAACGTTCTTAGGACATAGAGACGTCTGGAAACATCTTCAGGACCTCTCTTGGATGTCCTGTATTGTATAGATCTTGATGATAAACATGTCAGTAGCCATCTTTATAATATAACTGCTTTGTTGCTAGGTGGAATATGTGGAAGATCAATCCCGGTTGTTTCCTACGTATGAGCAGATCTCTTTTTCTCCGAGGGCAGCCTCTCCTCTATCAGACTTTGAGCATCGAGTCAGCCCACTGGATCCAAATATGAGCTCTACTGCTAGATATTCTCCTACACCAGTCCAACTGCCTTCCTCTCCTTTCCATAATTCTGTTGTCGTGCTGCAAGGTCCAACCTCACCCTTGATGTCCCAGCCTGAACCGAATATACGAACCAGCATCAATTATGTGACTCAGCTGGCTCATCCGATCGACACTCAGACAGTACCTCAAACGGATGGTACCACAGACTTTGTTGGCAATGGGAATGAAGATGGACTAGTGTCCAGTGTCAGTAGCGAATTGATTTTAATGCAGGGTAAAAAAATGATTGTTTTTATTAAACAAAATATATCATCATACATATTAGATGATATTTTTATTACTTTTTGACTATTATGTAACATTTCCAGAAACTGCACCTGAGTTGGAATCTTCGACAACTCCCTTGATGCTAACAGGAATACCAGGCACAGATTTTGCTCTAACTAGAGATTTTTTGGTAATGCAGGATGATCAAATAAATGTTATCAACACGTTTAAAAATCAGAACATGGAGATAGAGGACAACTCTATCACTTTACCTATAACTGAAGATGCAAATAAAGAAAACAACAATCTTGCTTTGTCAGAGTGTGATAAAGAAATTCAACAAATTACTGAAGATCCATTGTCCACTGAGGAGATAAAAATAATTGAGAAGAAAGATGTAAGGAGATCCAAACGACATATAACAGATAAGAAAAAATTTTGTAAGTATATTTACAATATTTTATAAGCATGTAATGATAAATATTATTACTTTATTTATTTGTATAAATCATAAAATAAAAAAGGCACTGCTTTTCATTTACTTTATGATTTATATAAATATAAGATTTATTTGAATTTACAATTTATTTCTTGGGAACTTTATTCTGTTTATATAGTTTTTTATATATTGGATGGGGCATTTTTTCAGGGGGAGATGACGAATATGACGGTAATTGTGCCAAAGACGATAGCTCTAATTTGACTGATGTATGCACTATCGCAGATCAACCTGTACCATCGCGTGCTGTAGCAACACTGCCAGGATCCTATCTTTTGTTAAACAAGCTATCTACATCACATGGTTCAGCAAATAATGTAACCTATGGGGTTTTTGCGAAACGTAATATACGAAGACGCACGCAATTTGGACCTATAGAAGGTGTATTGTGCACTTATGATGGCTCGCCTTTTGAGAATACTTTGCCGCTGCTCTTTGAAACTCAGGATGGAGAATTCTTGAAAGTAGATGTTTCCAACGAAAGTAAGTGAAGTCGTATACTGTCTATTTGTTTCTAATTAAGATATTTGAACTTAAATCCCATTATATTTTCAGATACTTCAAACTGGATGCGTTTTGTACGACCTGCACTGACATATAAAGAACAAAATCTAATCATTTGTCAACAGAAAGATGGAATAGTGTTTTTGACTAATAGAAATATTTTGCCAAAAGAAGAACTGAAGGCAGGTCCTAGTCCAGACTATGCAAATCGCAGAAATTTACCAATACTCAAACCAGATATAAAAGATGAAAAAGGTATAAAGTAAATATAGATATATATTATATTCTGATATACCATAATAAATATTGACCTATATGTAAATTAAATCCTTATTTTTAGCAGAAGTGGTAAACCAAACATCCACATGGCCACGTTTGGATAATCATTCTTATAATCGATACATAAAAATGTTTCGTGACAGGAATATGAAAGAAAAGGAGAACTCGCGGCAGAATAAGTGTAACAAGGATTGGAAATGTTCCGTGTGTAACTTGATTTTCAGGACTGCATGTCTACTTAACTTGCATGTGGCCGTTCATTTTTCTAACGATATCAAAATTGAGAATCAAATGTCCACATGCCCACAATGTGGACAAGAATTCCAGAAACAAAGCGAATTGGTGAATCATGTGTCTCAGCACGGACGAACGGCGTTATCTAAGGCAAAGCGACTAACTCCTCTAGGTTCATACAAGTGTTCAATGTGTTACAAACGTTTTGCTACAAAGATACGATTACAACAGCACTGCTTGGCGCATGGTGCTGAGGACCAAAAACCACTGCCATGCAGTATCTGCTTGAAACGATTTATGAACAACTCTGCGTTGTCTGGTCATCTGAAAACGCATAAAGGTGAATCTATAATGAATCAATAAAAGTTATATATATATATATATAAATAATCTAAGGTGCATAATTTGTCTTTTATTTTTGTCTCTTCAATGTGGAAAAAAAAGAAAGTTGAACTGTACAAATTCAGCTAAAAAGAACAAGCTTCTGATATCAATTGCTGTGCTATAACGATTCCGTATTTACAGAAAACAAACAAGTCTTTGAGTGCCCGATATGCAGGCAGCTGTTTCGCCAAGGTACGATGCTGAAAGATCACGTTGAAACACATAGAAATCAAGATGGTATATTCAGTTGCCCTTACTGCCAGCGAACATTCATTAAGTATTCCGTCATTCGCAAACACATTCGGGCACATCATTGTGAAAGGAAGCACAAGTGTCAGCATTGTGCGAAACGTTTTCCAACGGTCGACAAATTGCAAATGCATCTGTTAAAGCACTCCGATCACAGGTACAATTTTAATTCTGAATTCTTTGTTGATCATATTAATAAAAATACATGAAAATTTAATTAACTTTTGCTTAATAACAATAAAAGGGCGAAGTAAGGGTCAAATTAAGATTAAAATTATGGAAATGTTGACATATTTAATTTTAGACTAAGAGTACAAAATTATTAAAAAATATGATTACAAAAAGAAATCTACTTAAAATCTACTTAAATAATGATGTAATGACGATGTAATCAGTTTTGACTCTGAATTGAGTCTTCTTCAGATAAAATTATAATAGAACTATATACCATTGTTAATATAAATATTTCTGTAAACATTAATATATATATAAAAAAGTTTCATAATGATATAAATATACATAGTTAAAAGTAAAAATGACACAAGAAGATTTACTTACAATAGTTAATAATAAATTTAGGCGGTAATTCTTTCCTCGTTTGTTTGACAATATACGGTCGTTACAAAATTATTTAATATTTGTTAATAATAAATTTTAAAATTAAAAACTACGATCCGGTTTAAGTATGTGATGATACACAACATTGTAAATGTAATGATG